CTTCTGGCCTCCTTTTTTCCTTTAGATTCCAAATTTCACCCCCTAAAAAAATAAAAAATAAAAAATAAAAAAACTGTATAAATTCTTTGTCCACTTCAGCTCATTGGGCTCAAAATCATTTGCTCATCCTCAATAATGTCTGATTGAACATATACTTGGGCCTTTTTAAAACTCTTTTTGTTGTTGTTGTTGATGTTGTTGTTGTTGCTGCTGTTGCTGCTGTTGCTGTTGCTGTGTTAGATAAGACTAAAAAGATAACCTCGGATAGGAGCTTGGGATTGGGAATAGAGAGATGAAAGCTTAAATTTTCAAGTTTGTTACGTTTGCAGTGGAATTCGAATATATGATTTGGGATTAAGATTGAGAAATGAGAATATTGAAATTGGAAACAATGAAATAATTTTGTCATTGATGAATATAAGATATAGAGGGATTGTTAAATTTCAAACCACATTAAAGACGGTTAAATTGAAGCATAATTATCAAATATTAACCCGATTATCAAATAACCTCTTTATTTCCGAACAAAATAGATGAATATCAAACAACCTTAAATTGTAAAAAAATAATTTACTCTATACCTACGATAGCTACAACTGAAAGAGATCCGAATTATTCTACATATCTAGATGTGCTTATTAGTGTTTATTACTTCATTTGTTCTAAAATAAATGCAATATTTGTTTTTTGGGCTTTATAATGCAGTATTTTAAGTAATGATATCTCAATATATATTGTAGTTGTAAGAATTTTAAAATATAAATATTTTTAAACTACATTACTCAGATGAATTTGTCAATATACACAATGATTATGAAAGTACATTTTCTTATAATTTTATGTGAATTCATGACCAAAGTTGGCACATTACAGTGATTTTGCATGTATTTAGAAACAAAAGAAATATTCATTGGGCAAATTAACTCTTAGATTATTAATTAATTAATTTATTATATGAATCAATAATGTAAGTGCAAGTGTGTAACTAATGATGAATCAAAGTATGTGATGAATTGCTTTATTGGACAAGAGTAGTACAAGAAAATAACACATGCAAGTTTCAGATAAACTGATACCAAGTATTGTCCATGTTCTATACTTCAATTGTCTTACACCATGTTACATGCAATCATATACTTACGGGTTACGACTATACTATTGGGCGTTTATGATTTAACTTACAGTATTTAATACCAGTACTCAAATCTAATCCAATTGTACTTAGAATTACATAATTTGATTTTGACATGACCTAAAAAGTGATTGAAGTGACAATGTTTTAGCCATTGAGATAATGTTTTGTTTTTTTTTTTTATTATTATTATTTTTTTTTTAAGAGGAATTAGAAATTCACATTAATTTGGAATTTATGGAAATTAAGTCTCTTACTTTAAATTTATGGGATTTTTATAAAGTTGTTTGGCATTAATGTAGGAAGTAACTTTTCATACAAATTACTATTTACTTAGGGGAAACTAGGTAAATTAAAATTCTTACATTTTATGGGAAGTGAAAATTCTTAGAATTCTCTACTTTTCTCGTTCCATCATTTTTTTTTGTCAACCAAACAACTCTTCCTAATTACAATTCCTAAAAATTTTCATTTCTATATTTTCTTATGCGAATCAAACATCACATGAATTCATTGGACCATATTTCTTTCATGGACTTATTTTAAACTAAGTTAGTTGATTTAACTTTAGACAAAATAATTTTTCATAAATTTGAATAATTTAAGTTTCCTTATGTACTCACATAGTTGCACATAACTCTTGATATACTAAAAGTAAGTTTTGTTATAGAAATTCCTCAAAAAAAAAAAAGAATTTTGTTATATAAAAATAATACGAAGTATAAGATAACTTTAAACAAAAGGTTGAATAGAACAAAGCCTTGACAAAGATTATGCTTGCTATTTGCTACTCTCCCATTCCCGTTAAGTTTCTCTAATTCTAATTTTTACTTTGTCTCTTTTATGAATGACCTAAAAGTCAACCACTTTACTCTTACATTCACTATTTTTAGTCTCATCAACTTTTTTACTCATTAACTTAATTGCAATTTGATGGTCCAACAAAAAAAGGCATTGAAATAAGTCATTAGTTTAAATATTTGAGAGTCAACATAGTATCATCGCTCCTTTTAGTTTGTCTCATATCTTAATATATAAGGATGAGTGAGTGAGTGACCATCCATTTGCTTCGATCGCTCAATAAAACCATGTAAATTAAATATTAATCTTATAATTCCAGCGTAAGTACGTGCATCATGATATTCTGCGTCATGTAAATGTGGCAGCAAGGAAAGCTTCCTCTCACTCGAAACATTAATAATAATTTTATTCATATTATTTTTATTTTTAAGAACAATTTTGTAGGTGAGAGAAATGTGGGGGCACAAAAAATGCTAAAACAGTTGAAACAATAACAAAAAGTACAAAAAGTTGAAGACATTTGGGAAGTGAGTGAAAAAAAATTAAAAAAAAACTTCTACTCCGTATTTAGAATTTAGATATTGTTTGTGACCAAGTTGTGTAATTTCTTTTCTTTTGTAATGTTGCAATTGATCAAATTCCGGGTAAGCTGGATTCCAGAAAAATGCTTTTCAAATGGTACCCCGACACACAATTCCAACCCTATAAACAACAAACTTTTAATTACTTTTTTACCCTTACCCATATTATTTGTAGGGTACATTACTTACAATTAGAAGACCTGTTTTTTTTTTTATCTACTTTTATTTTTATTAAATAATTCTAATAATGTTAATGTCAATTCGAAGCTACTGAAAAAAAGTTTATAATTATTTTTTATAATATGCTTTTTGTCTTACATATATACAAGAGAGTTGGGTGTTACTATTTTAAAAGAACAAAGTCCTAAGACTATGTGACAAATTTTATGAAAATACAAGTATTTTATTTTTTATGAACTATCAAATCTTTCATGTGTAAGAGATCTTAATTATTGTTTGATTTAGTGTGGTGTCAAATTATTGTGTCACAAGGGTAACATAGGATCCTTACTATTGTCATTTACCAATGAAGAGTTGAACCTAACATTATTATTTTTAAAATTTTATTATTTTTGTTATTATTTTTTTTATTAAGGACAATAATTTAAGATTGACCTTATTATGAGTCAAACAGACAAATGTGTCTGAATTGATTCTTTGTTTTCTTACCCTGAGATGGTGGAAGAAGTCTACAATGTTATGGATTTTCAAGGAATTCTTTACTAGCTTCAATTCTTTGTTTTCTTACTTTGGATCCTTTGACATAAGTATATTGCTAAGAGTATATCTGTTTTCTAATAAACAAATGAAAGCTAGATTAATTAAAGTCGTTTCGGATGATGGAAGGGAACAAATCATTACAAGAGTTGAACCAATAAAACATGGTGTGATTTTGGTTGTAATTAGTCATGAAGACTGCCACTTAATTTGCTTCCTAAAACAATGGTGGAAAGAGACCGACTCAAACTTTAAAAGATTTCTATCCACGCCAACAAGGCAACAATTTTTTTTTTTTTTCTTCGAATAGAGGCAACAATCTAATATTTTCATCTAGTCGTATTCATTTGAATTCACTTAATCCATTATAATGATTTAAAATAAAAATTGATTTTATAATTTTGTACCATTAATTATCTAAAAAAACAAAAAAAAAAAAAAAAAAAAACAATTGTTCTTCTTAATAATTACTTCATTTGTTTCTTGTTGTTTTTCTCATTTGGCATCTTAACACTATTTATAAGTTAAGAGAATTTTCTAAAATACTCTCAAAATGTACACCTTAACATAATCATGTCGGGTCATATGAATTATCTCAATGAATAGTTTATTACGGAGTAATATTCTATTATTATATGTTTTTACTAACGTGTAACTAATGATATTTTTGGTCAAAGTGCATTGACAAACAAGCACAGTCAAAATGAAAAAAATATTTAGGAATAGGGGGAGTACAAATTTCGTCACATTTATAATATTATATTTAAAGGTAAACAGAAAAGTAGAGGGAGAAAATGAGTGTAGCCAGAGCAAAAGTTATTAAGTTAGTAACCTAGCTAAATTGAGAAAATATTGAGTTTTACAGTGTTATTGTTTTTACGGTGTTACGGATCTATTATTCATTTTTTTTTTTTTAAAAAAGGTCTAAAATTGTAAAAGTCAAAATTTACCGTTGGATTTGGAAAAAGGCCATGGTCTTAATAGAGAGAAAGCCTCAAAGTTAGCAAACACAACGTCTCCTCCGTCTCCTCCTGAGGCCCCTTGATGAATGCTCGTAGGCTTTTACAACTTCACTGTGGTCCAACCTACTCTTAAACTTTTAGTTTTCTGTCCATTTCTACGAAACAAACTATACTATACTTATTTTTTTTTAACTTCTTTGTTTTTTCTTTTTGGATAAATTAAGCTACTTACATACTCTTTGTTTATGTTTTAATTGATTTATTGTGGCTTGGTTTGTTTTCTTGATTACACAAATAATCATCATAATAAAAATACTTCGTAGTATTTAATCTTAAATACAAAATAAAAGAAGCTTAACATTAATAAGACAATAAGTTACAGAGTGTATTTTAATCATCTAAATTTAACGGAAGTAAATTACATGCACTCGCTATTGGAATTTATCGTTGGAGTGAATTGCTCTAATAAGTGATAATTATACATAGCCTGTAAATAGTTTCTAGCTTACTACTACCTCTTTTTCAATAAGATTGTCTCATTTGACTTAGAAAACTGTAATTTAAAAAAAGTGGTACATGGGATAATGTTAAGTGGATCGAAAGAAATATTAACTGGTTTTATGCTTGTACTATACTTGGTGTTTGATACAACCAAAACAATGGCCAAAACAAGAGTGACATTATAACCAGCTAGTTGTATCAAATTATTAATTAATAAATATCCTTAACACATCTAAAGCAATTCTAAACGAAGAAAACATAGAAAAGTAGTTGATAATCCTAGAATAAGTTACGTTATAATATGAAAAAGTTTAACCTGAAAAGACACATCTTTCGGCTAACAGCAATATAATCATGAAAATAAGAGAAGCAAACACTTTAATTAGCACGAGCACTTTTAGTACTAAAACAAAATGTAAATAGTAAAGCCCATAATAAAATGTTATGAATGGAAATGAATAGAGAAAGAAACAAGTTTGATCTCCTCGAAAGCAAACAACAAAAGCAACAAACAAACAGCTCTCTCTCAAAAAAAATTCATAGAGAAATAAAGACACACAAAACAATATTGGTCCTTTTTTTAGCTTAGCTTACAATTTCATTCCTAGACTTGTTCACTTCACTCCTCTTCATTAACTTTATCCTTTTGTCCCCTTCTTCTCTCTCCTCGATTCTCTCTCTCTCTCTCTCTCTATTTCTCTCTCTTCCATTTCCATTTCTCACAATTAAGTCAAATCCCCTTTCTCAATCCCATTATATAATTCTTATAAAAGTTTGTTACATTACAACAACACTCCATTGAGTAGTAGTAAAAAAGAAAATGAAAATGAAAATGTTTAATCGAAGTGATACGATGACTATGAATAAGAAACGAAGGATGACAAGCGAGTATTCAATCAACGACCACCCGGACATTCTAGTCGAGGTGTTGAAACGCCTCGACGGGAGATCCCTAGGGGTGGCATCCTGCGTATGCAGACTATGGTGTTCAATCTCCAAGTCAGATGATTCGGTTTGGGAGTACGTCTGCTTTCGACACGTGTCGCCTCCTCCACGTGTTCGGACCCTTGTATTAGCTCTTGGAGGGTATAAGCGTCTTTACATGGTTTGTGTTCGACCCGTACTTGGTCGGTGGGGTGGTCGTGGTCGTGGTGGTGCTGAGTTGACTCGCCGAGTTTGGTCGAGGCAAGGCGCTCAGCTTTTGCTTTCCTTATTTTGCGTCGATTATTACGAGAAGTTGGGCGGCGGTGGTGCCGGTGGTCGGAGGGTTGGGAGTGATGCGGTTCCGTCGTCTCTAATGTTCTTGTGTAAGCCAGTTAATGTTTGATGAGAAAAATATTTGATTTTATGATTTGATTAAATTGGAGGGAAGATAATTAAGTAGTTGATCCAACGGTTCTAATTGATTGAGTTTATTTATTTTTTAAAATATTTTGCCCCTCAATAAAGTGACAAATTAGATTCCTCCGTAATTTAAATATCCAAATTTTGTTCCTTTATTAATTAGTTGAATTATTTTCGTTTTCCATTTAACCCCTTGTATGATGTACTACGGAGTAGTAAAAAAATTCTTTTCTATGGGTAGTGTTATTAATACAAAATAATTAAAGAAGTGAAATTTATTTCTGAATTTTGATACTTTATGTTTTCTTTTGTACATGGGTAATTACCAAAATATGTTGTTTTGTTTAGCGGTGAATAATATGAGTGGGTGTAATTTACATGACTAATGTTGGATAGACGCATTCATTTGGTTTGAGTTTCTTACCTATAATATATCAAGTGAACAACTAGCTTATGGCATAGTGACAATGCCATATGTTACACTTGTAACCATGTTTGAATTCTAATTTTGACGGCATTAGCTCCAAACACCGCGCTATTTGTTACGGAGTACTCCCTAATGATAAGTACCCAACTAATTAAGCATTTATCGACAACAAAATTTAAAAAAAAAAACTAATTTGTAGATTTTTGGTGTTTAGAGAGCCATAAAGTCGGATGATCCCTCAATCTCTCAACTTTGTAGATAATTAACCTAAGCTTTGTTTACCTTCTACGTTGGAATTTCCATATCTTGAACCTAATGTACAATTTTATCAAAGTTTTTTTTTTTTAGTGAAAATCAAAGTTCTTAAATATGTTTGGTTCCAATTACATACGTCAATTGAACTAGTCTAAAAAGAAGGAAATTGTAGTCATTTGGACAAACAACCTCCAATAATTTTAATAATAAGAAAATCAAGTCATTTGCATGAATCTAAATAATCTATACTAATATATTAAAAGGCGTTTATAAAAACGTCCATGTGCCACGTAAATCCTTTTAAATTACGCCACGTCACTTCATAAATATTTCATGACACCACATCACCTACCATACATCTCTTCATGCTACATCATCACTGAATTAAGCTTAATCATTACACCACGTCACCCATATAAAAATATTAGGTTAAGCGGACTCAATCACCCAACCACTTATAACAAAGTTGGGTATTTAACCATATTAGCCCATTATCAAGCATGTTATAAGTATAAAAAAGAAATGTACATAAGTGTAAACAACATGATTTAATTATTAAAAAAGAAAAAAAGAACACATTCAATAATTGCAATTTCAGATTTCAAAATCCTTAAAAACAGATACCCCAATTGCACGATTACGAAAGTAGCAACTCGGGGCAACGCCCGGACTACTCACTTGTTATAACATTAATAAGAGTTGGCTTAAAATTTTACATTAAATATGTATAGTTGGTTGGTTCACTACTTCACTAATATAATGATCAAACTTCTAAAACCCATTATACTACAAGTACTAAATATATACGACACGTACTCTTCATGTCTTCTTACAAAATGATCTTTCAATTCATTTATATAATTAGGTTAACCCCAATCCGAATTAATTAATTCAATGTCGTAAGTAAGACTAATAATAATTTATTATTTTTTTAATTAATACTGAGATTATATAAAAGATATGATAATAGTTTAGGAGAATGTAGTCAACAATAAAGAGAGAATAAGAGTGAAAACAAGAAGAGGTGAGAGAATCTAGCTGAAGGCCTAGACAACGTGCAGATTTAGCTCAAAACTATAGGACAAATATGTCCAAGACAACAAGGAAAACGCAGGTGCCTATCGTTTTATTACCAGCTCAATGCGTTGCAAAAAGAAGAAATTATAATTTTATTATATAAATTTATATAATTATATATTAATTGGACTAAATGCCAAATTGCTAAAAATTGCAAGTAGTAGTTGATTAGGGGATTTTGCTCCCACCAATCGGAATGCGCCACGTGGGCCAATCAGGTCCTGCCAAGTGTCCCCCAGTTGGAACTGTCAGGGCTTGCCACGTGGCACGCGCTTATTCGTCCACCTTGGACCTATTATGTCATGACACGTGGCATACTCCATGCCTAATGGAGAAACCGGCCACCCAGGCCCAACTTCCGAGGGAAGCCCAATCAGCCCTAGGTTAACCTAAACCTAGGATTGGCACGTTTCCCAAGGTTATAAATACCTCCCTTAATCCTCATTAAGGGGGGATTACAGAGATAACAGGCTGATCACGCTAACAAAGCAGATTACCTACATTAAACACTCTCACCTAGAGAGACCCAATCACTTTAATTTCCGCATTAATTACTCCTTAATCAAGTACTAACTTGACCGTTGGAGGCGGAGCTCCCTCCACCAGGAGTCTCCGTTGTTTTGCAGGTACAGGCGTCCGGTTCCAGTCTCGGAATTGTAACTCTCCCGCAGGACATCAGAAAACCCCGAAACATTTGGCGCCGTCTGTGGGGAGAGTACTTCTGAGATGGCATCCAAGTCTGTACCGACTCCTGAAGAGAGGCGTCCCCTAGACGACCCTCAAGTTCAGTCGGACCACGATACTGAGAGTGAATTTGAAGTTGAAGCTCACACAGCTTCAGACGGGACCCTAAGGGCCCGACGTACCCGTCATACCGAAAGGAGGGAACGGGAACATCTTCAAACTGGAAGCGAGCCAGCAGGCGCACCGCCTGTTCGGCAGCAGCCGACTGATGGGTCTGCTCCCATCACAAGGAACGAACTCATGACCTTCATGAGGGACTTCAAGGGAGAAATTCAAGAGTTGATCAACAAGAAGCCGCCTGCTCTGGACAAGGAGCAGTCGGCTAAGAAACCTTCCACTTCGCTGAAGAGGAAGCCAGTTCAAGGGTGAGAGGCGACTCCTCATCCTAAATATAGGAAGCGGGAGCCGACTGCCCTTGATTTCACAAAATACCGTTTTCCTACTCCAGGAAATAGGAAACCTGTTCGTCATATTCAGGCGGACGGGTCGAGGAAATCATACACAGACGCTCGGCTACTGCTAGAGCAGAAGAAGAGTGACCGATTGTCAGAGTCGGCCTCTACTTCAAACTTCCAAGACAGTCTGCGAAATACCTCAATGAGGCATACGCAGTCGTATCATGAGAGTCAGTCAGGCGGCACCTCCCGTCAGTCCGGCTTTCATAGCGACCAGGCGGTACCAAACTTACCGTTTGTGCCGCAACAACAGTATTTTTTACAGCCACCTCCGTTTGGTGGACATGCAGCAAAAAACGTCCAACCTATGGACTGGCAGCTACGGTTGCTTAGACTTGGTGAACAGCCGTCGGCCTTCTCCAAGGAAATTACTGAAGCCGCTCAGCCGGCCAAAGTGAAAAATGTATTAGTAGGCGCCTATGACGGCACTACTAACCCAGAAGACCATCTGATGGCATTCACCAACCTGATGTACCTTCAAGGGTTGGATGATCCCACTTGGTGCAAATGTTTCCCAACGACTCTCAAAGGAATCGCACAACAATGGTTCGACAACCTGCCGACTGGTTGTGTAAATAGCTTCAGGACGCTTGCTTACTTATTCACCTCCAACTTCGCCATGAACATCCCTGCGAAGAAGACGACCCTTGATTTAGGAACAATTCAGCAGGGCGAGAAGGAGGGGCTTCGTTCTTACATCAGGCGGTTTAACCTGATGAGAATACAGATTCAAGGGTTACCGGATGAAGTAGCCTATACTGACTTTTTCAGAGGTCTCAAGGACGGGTCGACCTTCAAATTTGATTTGGTCCGAAAGAGGGTGGCGACTCTTCAAGAGGCCTTGATTGAAGCGGAAGCCTATATACAGGCGACTGATCTTTGTACGTTAAAACAGTCGGACGGGAAAAGGTCCGACAAAAGAGAAGGACGACAGAAGCAGTCGTCCAACAAAGTCGAGAAAAGAAAAGAGGTCTGGGCGGCTTATTCCTCTAAACAGCCGGCCCAGAAAAAGAAAAAAGAATTCAAACCCTACTCCCCAAAGTATGCGTTTAACAAGGATAACCAGTTTATCCTAAAAGAAATCAAGGGACGGATCTCAATTGAGAAGCCGGTCCCCATGAAGGGTTCTGCAAACAACCGGAACCAAGAAAAATTATGTGCTTATCATGAAGATGTTGGTCATCACACCAATGACTGCATCAGTCTCATGCGGTATCTGGACCGCCTGGCTGAGCAAGGTGATCTTGACACTTATGTCAAGAAATCTACGGGGAACACTTCCTCAAAAAAGCAGTCGGCCAAAAAGAATCAACAGGCCGACAGCTCCGATACAGATGATGCAGTCGTCTACACCATTGCAGGCGGCTTCTCAGGAGGCGGCCCCACTATTAGGGGCAACAAAGACAATATCAGGCGGTTAGATGTAAATTCCGTTCACCAAGAACGGCCGTCCAAATATTCATTTCCTGAGATTGTCATCACTGAAGAAGATCTAGGAGGGGTAAGAGGGCCGCATGACGACCCTATCGTTATTGAATGTAAAGTGGCCAACCAGAGAGTTGGCCGAATCCTCAAAGATACCGGAAGCTCCTCAGATCTCATCAGTAGCAAATGTATGTCGAAACTAAAATATCAGACTAATTGCATACATCCGGCCTCCCACCCTTTAGTAGGGTTTGGAGGAGGAGTCGTCCACCCAGTGGGACGAGTGGATTTACCCATCCGCCTGGGCGAAAAAGGGGAAGGACGACACATGGTAGTCCGGTTCCTGGTAGTAGAAGAACTCTCGGCCTACAACATGATTCTGGGATGACCAACCCTGAATAATTCCAAGGCTGTTATAATCCCATCTCTTATGTTGCTCAAGTTTGAGAGGGATAATGGGACCGTCGGGTCCCTAAGGGGAGATCAGAGGATGGCCCGAGAGTGCTATCTCTCGGATGTCAAGCCCACTGTTAAAGCCACTGGGTCGAGTGGTGGAAAAATAGACCTTGACAATGTCAAGGAGAGTGCGCCTGTTCAAAAAGCAGGCGGCAAGAAGAGAAAGGCATCCTAGACAGGGGCCGCACGAAAGGACAGAAAATAGCAATCATTGGCAGAGGAGCGGTCGGATGAATTCCGCCCTCAGCCAGCTGGTGAGCATACAGACCTGATCCTAGACGACTCACGTCCTGACCGAACAGTCAAAGTTGGGACGACTGCTCTGAGAGTCCTAGGTGACGACTTTCACAAACTATTGAAAGAATACAAGGACATCTTTGCATTCGAAGTCCATGAAATGCCAGGCATTAGTCCTGATCTGGCGGTACATAAACTGGTCGTGGATCCGAAAAAGAAGTCGGTACGGCAGAAGAAGCGGAACCATGGCGAAGAAAGAAGTCAGGCGGCAGCCGCTGAAGTTAAAAAATTA